AGGATAGGAATAAGTCAGGTAAACATGCACCAACAGGGAATACAGTCACAGAAACCCAAGGCAAATGGAAACCAAGCCTGTGCACATACTATGCACTTGGTATCTGCAGGCATGGGAAATCTGGAAAAACAGATGGGACGTGCAACTATGACCACCCTAGAAAATGCCGTGCCCATAAGACAACAGGAAAATGCAAACTCCCTTCCTGTAAGCTTTTTCACCCTGAAATGTGTACCTCTTCAGTACAGGAAAGACTGTGCTATAACTTAAATTGCCAGGCAAACCATCTAAAGGGGACAAAAAGATACAAAACATCCAGACCATGGGAAAACCTGGGTAGCCACAGCCACCCAAGAGGGAGAGGTTTTTTAGTGCCAGGAAGGAAAAAAAACTGGCAAGAAATGGCAGAAATTGTACACCAAATCCAGTCATTCCTGGAGTGGAACCACAGTCGATGGCCTCCACTCCAAACCAACAGATACAGATACTAATGCCGGGAAAAAAATCCTCCCCCCCCAGTACCAACAATACCACCTGTCCGATGACATTCTTCTTTGCAAATATACAGGGTCTAAAGCCAGCAACAAACAACAAAATACCTTTCATCCGTGGACTGCTTGCAGAGGCAAAGGCAATGTTCGCGGCTTTCACTGAGACCCACATAAAGGATCACTTGGACAACGAAATATGGATCCCAGGTTACAACCTATACAGATGCGACAGAGTGAACAGGCAAAAGGGGGGGGGGGGTTAGCCTGTACATTACAGAGTCACTTGTTTGCACAGAACTGCTTAATGCCTCAAATGATGTAGTGGAAGTTTGCAACATCCCAGCAATTCCAGGAACAGCTGTTAAAAATTGACCACTGTCTGGAAAATCTGCCAGCTCCTGCACCCAAAATCTTGCTCCTGGGGAATTTCAACTTAAGGCACCTAAAATGGAGGAATATAGCAAATAATATTGTTGAAGTAATAACACCAGGAGGCAGCTCTGATGAAAACTCACACTCACACGAGCTTTTAAATCTCTGCATAAAATTCAATTTAACCCAGCAAATAATAGAGCCTACTAGACTGGAGAATACACTAGACCTCATCTTCACTAACAATGATGATCTGATACGAAATGTCACCATATCAAAAACAGTGTACTCAGATCACAACATAATTGAGGTTCAGACATGTATGCGCGGAGCCCCAGACCGACATAATGAGATTAGTCATGAGGGAGCATTCACCAATTTCAACTTCAACAACAAAAACATAAAGTGGGACCAAGTAAACCAAGTCCTAACCGATATAAGCTGGGAAGATATACTAAACAACACAGACCCCAACTTATGCCTAGAACAGATTAACTTGGTGGCACTCGATGTATGCACAAGGCTTATTCCTCTAAGAAAAAGGAGGAGTAGATGTAAAATAGAAAGAGACAGGCGCTCCCTTTACAGGCGATGGAAAAGAATAACAGAGCGGCTAAAAGAGGTCAATATATCTGAAATGCGTAGGGAGACACTGGTCAGAGAAATAGCAAGCATCGAACTTAAGCTAAAGGAATCTTATAGGAGTCAGGAATCGCGGGAAGAACTAAAAGCCATAAATGAAATCGAAGGAAACCCAAAGTATTTCTTCTCCTATTCCAAATCAAAGTCGAGAACAACGTCCAGTATTGGGCCCCTACTTAAACAACATGGGTCCTACACAGATGACAGCAAGGAAATGAGTGAGCTACTCAAGTCCCAATATGACTCAGTTTTTAGCAAGCCGCTAACCAGACTGAGAGTCGAAGATCAAAATGAATTTTTTACGAGAGAACCACAGAATTTGGTTAACACAAGCCTATCTGATGTTATCCTGATGCCAAATGACTTCGAACAGGCGATAAATGACATGCCCATGCACTCTGCCCCAGGGCCAGACTCATGGAACTCCGTGTTCATCAAGAACTGCAAGAAGCCCCTATCACGAGCTTTTACCATCCTATGGAGAGGGAGCATGGACACGGGGGTCGTCCCACAGGTACTAAAAACAACAGACATAGCCCCACTCCAAAAAGGGGGCAGTAAAGCAACAGCAAAGAACTACAGACCGATAGCACTAACATCCCATATCATAAAAATCTTTGAAAGGGTCCTAAGAAGCAAGATCACCACCCATCTAGAAACCCATAAATTACACAACCCAGGGCAACATGGGTTTAGAACAGGTTGCTCCTGTCTGTCTCAACTATTGGATCACTACGACAAGGTCCTAGATGCACTAGAAGACAAAAAGAATGCAGATGTAATATATGCAGACTTTGCAAAAGCCTTCGACAAGTGTGACCATGGCGTAATAGCTCACAAAATGCGTGCTAAAGGAATAACAGGAAAAGTCAGTCGATGGATCTATAATTTCCTCACTAACAGAACACAGAGAGTAGTAGTCAACAGAGTAAAGTCCGAGGCAGCTACGGTGAAAAGCTCTGTTCCACATGGCACAGTACTCGCTCCCATCTTGTTCCTCATCCTCATATCTGACATAGACAAGGATGTCAGCCACAGTACCGTGTCTTCCTTTGCAGATGACACCCGAATCTGCATGAGTGTCTTCCATTGCAGACACTGCAAGGCTCCAGGCGGACATCAACCAAATCATTCAGTGGGCTGCAGAAAACAATATGAAGTTCAACGATGAGAAATTTCAATTACTCAGATATGGTAAACACGAGGAAATTAAATCTTCATCAGAGTACAAAACAAATTCTGGCCACAAAATAGAGTGAAACACCAACGTCAAAGTCCTGGGAGTGATCATGTCGGAGGATCTCACCTTCAAGGACCATAACATTGTATCAATCGCATCTGCTAGAAAAATGACAGGATGGATAATGAGAACCTTCAAAACTAGGGATGCCAAGCCCATGATGATACTCTTCAGGTCACTTGTTTTATCTAGGCTGGAATATTGCTGCACACTAACAGCACCTTTCAAGGCAGGTGAAATTGCTGACCTAGAAAATGTACAGAGAACCTTCACGGTGCGCATAACGGAGATAAAACACCTAAATTACTGGGAGCACTTGAGGTTCCTGAACCTGTATTCCCTGGAACGCAGGCGGGAGAGATACATGATTATATACACCTGGAAAATCCTAGAGGGACTAGTACCGAACTTGCACATGAAAATCACTCACTACGAAAGCAAAAGACTTGGCAGACGATGCAACATCCCCCCAATGAAAAGCAGGGGTGTCACTAGCACGTTAAGAGACCATACAATAAGTGTCAGGGGCCCGAGACTGTTCAACTGCCTCCCAGCATACATAAGGGGGATTACCAACAGACCCCTGGCAGTCTTCAAGCTGGCACTGGACAAGCACCTAAAGTTGGTCCTGACCAGCCGGGCTGTGGCTCGTACGTTGGTTTGCATGCAGCCAGCAGTAACAGCCTGGTTGATCAGGCTCTGATCCACCAGGAGGCCTGGTCACAGACCAGGCCGCGGGGGTGTTGACCCCCGGAACTCTCTCCAGGTAAACTCCAGGTAGTTCACAAAGTTCCATTTTACACTCCTCATCAGGGCCAGGGAATTTATTTTGCTTCAATCAGTCTTCCTGTTTGATAGCCATATCACTAGTGATTGTGATATTACATAATTTATCTTCTTCAGGCTCACTATAAAATTTAATTATTGGGATACTGTTAGTGTCCTCCTGTATGAGAACCAAGAGAAAATAATTATTAAAAATCGAGCACATTACATTCTCCCTGTCAGTAAGATGCCAAGAGTAATTTTTAAGGGGACCTATCTTTTTCTCTTACTTTTGTTCTTTAAACCTGGAAAAAACTTTTCGGGTTAGTTTTTGAATCCCTAGCAACTTTAATTTCATAGTCCCATTTTACTTTTCTTATCCCCTTTTTAATCTCCCTCTTAATGTGAATACGTATTTTGATTTATAAGATGGCCCTCATCTCTTTTGATGCTCCTATAAATTCCTTTCTTGCCTAAAGTATGCACCTAAATATCATTTAGGTCATTCTGTCAATCTATTTTTATATGAATAACCATTCTTGGCAGATGTATAATGTTTAAAAGCTTCATTATTTTTCTTTATTTCCATTAAATTTTTTTTTTCTTTGGCAAGCTCATTGGAGCCTAAACTCGTATTTTACCGATGCTTGCCTTCAGGTGTGATTGTATTACAATAATGGCTTCGTGTTGTTTACAGTTACCTGCCTAAGGTGTTGTATTACCATAACTGCCTTCAGGTGTGTTGTATTACAGATACACTGGCCTTCAGGTGTGTTGTATTACAGATACACTGGCCTTCAGGTGTGTTGTATTACAGATGCATTGGCTCATCAGTGTTTAATACAGAAGCAGTGGCACTCAGATGTGTTTATTATGGAAGCATTGGCTCTCAGGTGTGTTTATTACATATGCTTTGTCTTACAGGTGTGAAGAGTGTTATTACATATGCTTTGTCTTACAGGTGTGAAGAGTGAAGTATCAAGTGTAACCTCAGGGCGGACCCAAGGTTCAGGTCCCAGCCTCAGTAGAGACTCTTGGTAGTGGTGACCCATGTCTCCTCTGGTCACCAGGTAAGATGAACTTTGAAGACTCTTTGTTAGAGGATCAAATTTTGATTTGTGAAACTGTTTTACAAATAGTTTTGTGCATGATATATAAGTTTAGCACTTTTTCTGAATATAAAACAATTGAAATTAATAATAAATAATCTTAGGTATACAATGCATAGAAACAAAGTTATGATATTAGCAAAAACAGTTGTGTAAAGCAAGTTAAGTACTGAGGCATCTTGCAAGTAAATGAATGGGTAACTACAGGTGTGAAGATGGAATGGGTGTGGCATGTGTATTGGAAATTTTTGTAAAACTTTTTCTTCCTTTTCTTGTTGTGTTAACAGGCTTGTCTACTCTCTGAGCGAGGCTCTCCTTCAGAGTACCTGTATGAGTGTAGCTGCTGCTCTGACTCCCCCAGTCAGCTACCTTGCTCCTGTGGGTGCCCAGGGGAGGGAGGTAGTGACCATGGTGTACTCACAGAAGATGGTCACCAGAGCCCAGATGAAGATGAAGAGGAGGAGGATGATCTCCCTAGAAGCTTCTCCATGCCCCTCAAGGAAGAGGAGAAGCTGGTAAGTTCAGTCTTTCCCTGTTTTCCTATTTACTTAAAACAAGACTAGTTTTTTACAACTTTGGCAGTCTCCCACCAAGGTAGAGTAACTCAAAAGAAGAAACATTGATCATTATTCATTCAATGGCTGTTTTGCCAGAAGTACACAGATATCACATTTCAGATGACCTGAACAGCAACATCCCCACTCCTCCTTCAGAGTGCAGGAAGTGTACTTCCCACCTCCAGGATTTAGTCTGGCTAACTGGTTTCTCTGAATAGTTTAACGAATGTTACCATGCTTGCAGCTTGGTATAGGTGCTTGTGGCTTGGTTGATAATGTCCTTAATTCACACATTGAGGAACCAGGGATTGCTTCCCTGCTAGGGTGAAATGTTAGCCATGTTTCCTTACACCTGCTGTCCCTGTTCATCTAGTAGTAAGTAGATACCTAGGTGTGGGTCGCATCCTGAGGTAAATGGACTAAAGAACCCCATTGGAAGTAAGAATGACACTCCTACATGGGCTTTATTGAATTGACCTGGGTTACTGACACTCCTGAAGGATACATAAGAAAGAAGGAACACTGCAGCAGGCCTACTGGCCCATACAAGGCAAGTCCAAGTCACCTACCGGCTTATGCCATTGACCCAACCCAGTCATGTCCATGTTACATCCACTTAACGAAGGAGCATGACATCAGACCTACTAGCACAAGGTAGTCGGGTCCAACTCACACCCACTCATGTATTTATCTAACCTATTTTTAAAACTACACAACATTTTAGCTTCTACGACGGTACTCGGGAGTTTGTTCCACTCATCTACAGCTCTATTACCAAACCATTGCTTTCTTATATCCTTCCTGAATCTGAATTTTTCCAACTTGAAACCATTGCTGCAAGTCCTGTCTTGGCTAGATATTTTTAGCACGCTATTCACATTCCCTTTATTTATTCCTGTTTTCCATTTATACACGTCAATCATATCCTCCCTAATTCTACGCCTTTCTAGAGAGTGCAGATTCAGGGCCCTCAGTCTATCCTCATAGGGAAGATTTCTGATACGTCCTCCTTTGTACATTTTCCAGTGCATTTATATCTATTCTGTAATACGGTGACCAGAACTATGCAGCATAATCTAAATGAACACTTATCACTGTTGTCTTGGTTTCAGATTACTGCTAACCAGAGCTCCTAAATCCTTTTTTGCAATCAGTAATATTAAGATTTACATTATTTAGTTTACATGTGGCATAGTTATTTTCCTATCCACTTCTCCAACCACTGCATCAGTCTTTTCAAATCTTCCTGGAATGCTCTAATGTCCTCATTAGAATGAATTGGACAGCCTATTTTGGTGTCATCAGCAAATTGGCTTAGGTCACTATTTATTCCCTTATTTATGTCGTATATGTAAATTGTGAACAACAAAGGGCCCAACACTGACCCCTGTGGAACACCTCTTGTGATGCACCCCCACTCAGATTTCTCCCCATTCATGCAAACTCTCTGTTGTCTATTTGTCAACCATGCCTCTACCCAGGAAAAAATTCTCCTCCTATTTCATGTGCCTTAAGTTCCCTCAGTAGCCTCTGATATGGAACTCTATCAAAAGCCTTACTGAAGTTCGAATACACAATATCATATTCATTACCATGATCTACCTCCTCAAATATTTTAGTGAAAAAAGTTAGTAAATTCATAAGGCAGGAATGCCCCTTTGTAAAACCGTGTTGAGATTCATAATCATTTTATGCTTTTCAAGATGGCTATGAATTGCCTCGGAAATTATTGATTCCATAAATTTTCCCACTATGGAGGTAAGACTTATTGGTCTATAGTTTGAAGTTAAGGACCTATCTTCTGCTTTGTGAATATCTTCTGCTTTGTAAATAGGTATTACATTTGCCATTTTCCACTTGTCTGGCACTATGCCAGTTTGTAGTGATGTGATATGTTGAAAAGAGTAGCCAAAGATTTGCTAAGTTCCTCTTCACATTCCTTTAAAACCTTTGCAAACAGTTCATCAGGGCCTCAGTATTTGTTAGGTTTTAATTTCTCTATTTATCTGAGGACCATGTCACTAGTTACCCAAATTGTGCATAGTTTATTATCATCCTGTTCTACATAATTTATTATTTCTGGAATTTTGTTAGTATCTTCCTGAGTAAAAACTGAGAGGAAGCAAGTGTTGAAAATTTCACACATTTCCTTATCAATGTCAGTGATCTGACCTGAGTTACTTTTAAGTGGGCCTGTCTTGTCCCTAATTTACTTATGTATACCTGAATATATCTCTTCAAACAGGTGTAGTGTCTGATATGTGGAAGATGGCCAATGTAATTCCTATTTTTAAAGCAGGAGACAAGTCGTTACCATCAAATTATCGGCCAGTAAGCCTGACTTCAATTGTAGGCAAATTACCAGAGTCAATTATAGCTGATATTATAAAAAACCATCTTGTTATGCATAATTTGATTAATGATACTAAGCATGGATTCATGAGGGGCCGTTCCTGCCTAAGTAATTTACTAACTTTCTTCAGTAAAGCTTTTGAGGCTGTTGATCACAATAAAGAATTCGATATTGCTTATTTGGATTTTAGTAAGGCTTTTGATAGAGTTCCGCACCAAAGACTGTTTTAGAAAGTGGTAGCTCATGGCATTGGGGAAAAAGTGCTGACATGGATTGAGTCATAGCTCACAAACAGAAAACAAGAGTGTGCATAAATGGGGTTAAATCTGAGTGGAAATCTGTAACAAGTGGCATTCTACAGGGATCAGTTTTAGGCCCATTGTTATTTATAATATATATCAATGACCTTGACGAGGGAATTACTAGTTCTTCTTCTTTCTTTCAACGTACCAGCCGTATCCCACTGAGGTGGGGTGGCCCAAAAGAAAAAACTGAAGTTTCTCCTTTTAAATTTAGTAATATATACAGGAGAAGGGGTTACTAGCCCCTTGCTCCCGGCATTTAAGTCGCCTCTTACGACACGCATGGCTTACAGAGGAAGAATTCTGTTCCACTTCCCCATGGAGATAAGAGGAAATAAACAAGAACAAGAATTAGAAAGAAAATAGAAGAAAACCCAGAGGGGTGTGTATATATATGCTTGTACATGTATGTGTAGTGTGACCTAAGTGTAAGTAGAAGTAGCAAGACTTACCTGTAATCTTGCATATTTATGAGACAGACAAAAGACACCAGCAATCCTACCATCATGTAAAACAATTACAGGCTTTCGTTTTACACTAACTTGGCAGGACGGTAGTACCTCCCTGGGCGGTTGCTGTCTACCAACCTACTACCTACAGGAATTACTAGTTATATGAGCAAATTTGCTGATGACACGAAGATAGGTAGGATAATTGATTCATATGTAGATGTCACAGAACTTCAGGAGGATTTAGAGAAACTCAGTTCCTGGTCAGAAATGGTGTCATTTCTTTCAAAAGAAGGTTCTCTGCTATTTCAGAAGAAAATATATTTTTTTATTTTGAAAAAATGTGAACACTGAGCACTTTTAACTTAGTGGGTCTGGACACCTCACTGACAGTTTAAGTGACATCAGCACACCTCACCACCAAAGATGCTGCATTATCCCTCCTCATTTCACCTTGCCTTCTTACTGTATAAATGTCATGTCACTACATTTGTATTCATTTGATGAAGCTCTGGTTAAAATAAATTTGTCTATAAATAACGGTTTGCTTTGTACATACTGGCATTCTACAGTACATTTGAAAGTCTTCTTTCTCCAACTTTAGTTGTGAATTGTTGCAGCCTTGGTATAATGACTTCTATTTTAACCAGCAAGGGAATGAGAAGCAGCAGGAACCGAGCAACAACAATAGTGTGAGGTGTAAAGTAGCTCCTCGCCCAACAAGTAACCCAGTAGCCTTCACTCCCTATGACTTGACCTTACCTTGGCCAACAAGACGAGGTAGGTACCCAGGAATATAAAATATAGAGGCATTGTGGAAGGAATACTGACTCCATGACAGGCAGATTCTACTCCCACCCAACCATTCTAACATATGTATTTGTCTAACTTATTTTAACGCTACTGAAAGTGTTCATTTCATTGACACTTTTTGTAAATTTCTTCCATTCACAGCTCTATTAACAAACACAGAATGTACAAATAATTAAAATTCATGGATGCAATACATTTAGGAAATTGTGGTAATTCAGTAAAAGAGAGGGTACCTTATGAACCATTGTTTATTAAAAGCTAAAGAAAAGGATCAGCAAAGCTATACAAGACATTGAAATTAAAGTGGCAAAGGAATAAAAGCAAATACCAAATGATTTTTTAAAGTGTACAGGACAATAATCAGGAAAAAATAGGCCTACTTAAAACTAGGTCTGGACAGCCAACTAATAATGAGCATTACTTTTTTAAGGTTATTTCTTGTAAGTCTTCCCACAAAAAGGCATGATATCCCACTGATTAAGAAATATAGAGAGCATGAAGAAAATAAATATCTTAGTTACTGGGGACATGGTTATTAACCCCTTGACTGTCGCAACCCCAAATCCTGAGGTGTCTCCTGGCATCGCAAAATTTCCAAAAAAAAAAAAAAAAATTCTTATGAAATGATAGAGAATCTTTTCCTGATTGTAACAACAACAGAAGAACGTAATTTGATGGAAAATTGACAGAATTACGTTCTCATGAAGTTAGCAACCTCGGCAATATTTACAAATCAGTGATTTCGCCCACTTTTCGGCTAATTCCACTGTTCCAGTTGCCCAAACTCATAGCTATTTTAGAACTCCATTTTTTCTATTGATTGAGTACAAGAAACTGCCCATTTACTAATTTCAACTACCCAATAACGTGGTCAGAAATTTGCAATTTGGCCAATATCACGAAAATAAAAAAATATGACAATTTCAAAATAGGGTTCAGAATGAACAATGCAGACATTCCTGGCTCTAAAATAACATTTTCTATGTTCATCAGTCATGTCTCCAGGCCCTTCTGATATTACTCTTGCTTTCTATTCTGAATTTTTATTCAAACAAAAAATAAAAGATATACTGTTATGCAGACTACTGCAATATTGTAATAATTGTATAAATAATGTCAGCCCATTCATGACTGCATATTAGAATGGCTACTTGGACATTTATTGGAAAATGACATCATTTGTTTACCTTTGAACATCGGCAAAAATCAAACATTTCCCTTACTTTGAGCTCCATTTCAAGGTTCTTTTCATAGTAAAACCAATCAAAATCACCTCTATTTCTATAATATGTTTTCCATTCTATCAAATGAGACCAGGAAAACGAGAATACAACCATAAATACTATACGAAAATAGACCACAAAGTCGGCATTTTAATTAAAAAAACGGTCATTTTTTTTTTCTCATTATGCACTGCGTGCTGCAGGATTTTTTTTATATGATGCACACTGACCACACAGACCCATTCTCTCACATGTGGGCCTACCAGCTTTCTCCTGCTTGATTTGAAGCCGCTAGAATTTATGAGTATACGTCAAAAACGGTGCCTCGTAAGACGTATATATACGACCAAAACAGTCAAAGGGTTAAACAAGTAGACAGCTTACAACAAAAGCCCTCACTCCTTGACAAACTTTCTTTTTTTATCTAAGGTTTAAGACAGGGATGAGGATGGTACTTTTATCCCATATTCCCTAGTAGTAACCTCATACCTCCATCGGACCACTTGGTATTATGCCAAATATTATTCATTCTCGAGTATTTACCATGTTTTTATATTATTTATATTGTTTATTATGCCATATTAGATCAATTGTGATGGGTAAATAAGCTGTAGTGTTGATATTAGCATAATAATAAAGCATATTCCCCCACATCACGAGACTCAGGAATTCCTGCTGACATAAGCAAATGTCCTAGGTAGTAGGTTGGTAGACAGCAACCGCCCAGGGAGGTACCACCGTCCTGCCAAGTGAGTGTAAAACGGAAACCTGTAATTGTTTTACATGATGGTAGGATTGCTGGTGTCCATTTTTCTGTCTCATAAATATGCAAGGTTTCAGGTACGTCTTGCTACTTCTACTTACACTTAGGTCACACTACACATACATGTACAAGCATATATATATACACACATCCCTCTGGGTTTTCTTCTATTTTCTTTCTAGTTCTTATTCTTGTTTATTTCCTCTTATCTCCATGGGAAAGTGGAATAGAATTCTTCCTCCGTAAGCCATGTGTGTTGTAAGAGGCGACTAAAATGCCGGGAGCAAGGGGCTAGTAACCTCTTCTCCTGTATATATTACTAAATGTAAAAGGAGAAACTTTTGTTTTTCCTTTTGGGCCACCCTGCCTTGGTGGGATACGGCCGGTGTGTTGAAAGAAGAAGAAGAATAAGCAAATGTTCCCAGACAGTTCCTGATTGGCTCTCAGACTCTGTATTAGCTCCACCCACTCTGTTATGATGTCAAATTGTCAGTTATTATTAGAATAATAGAAGAAATAACTGAAACAAAAATGGAAATACAGTAATCTGAAAAATTGACGACATGAAAGCACGCATGCTACGGGTGGCTGCATCACCGTATATGCCATAAATGACTATAATTCCTTGTAGGAACATAGTACAACAATGATTCTTATATCAGTGTTGCCAAAGTGTTAAGCTATTTTTCAATACGATTAGCTCAATTTTCGAATTTTTTCTAATTTTTTTTTACTTCACGCGCTGCGTGCATTAGCCACCCCTAAGTCACTGTTTTACACCACGGTCACAGTTTTTTCTCATTATGCACTGCATGCTGCAGGATTTTTTTTTATATAGTGCACACTTACCACACAGACCTATTCTCTCATATGTAAGTCCAAATTTACCGGTCACAGCATGCCTGAGTGAGCTGAGCTTATGGCAACCGACAATGGCTTCAAAGCCACCTTATCTTTTATAGACAATGTATGGTGTATGTGCTTTACACAACAAGAGGCATTTCTTTTATTCGTTGGAACCATGGCTAGGGCTAAAAGCAAGCAGATTATAACAATAAATGGGGAAAAAGAAATTGGAATGACTTATGCAGCAAGTAGTGCCACCAAACAGTAGCAGCAGGTTGGTGTAGTGACCCCAGAAATTTGAAATTATGCTAGCCGAAATTAGTGCCAGATTACTGATGGAACCAGATTACTGATTGCCAGATTAGTGATGGCCGACCTGTATTAACATAATATACGACATTTAATGTGCCTCAGAGTATTTATTATTGCTTCTTATTATTATTATTAATATGGCATCAAGACTAATAAAAAACTCTTAATGATTTTAAAGTGTACCTGCATGCCAGCACAGTGTGTAAGTTTATTTAGGTACAGGTACACATAAGTATAATCATCAGAGCATATATAAAACATATTATTATTATTATAATCAAGGGGGAAGCGCTAAACCCGGAGGATTATACAGCGCCTGGGGGGGATGTGGAAGGCATTCAGGCTTAATTTGGGGAACTGGAGCACAGATCCAATCCCCTAAATCAAGAGCCCCTCACCAACATCAATATAAAACATAAAATAACTTCAAAACACATGAAATTTTGGAAAGTTTCCAGACATAATGGAGAGACGCGGTGCTCACGGAGAATGTAAACAAACCAGGTGGGGTGCGGTGACCACATTAGAAAGTCAGGTGGGTGAAGCCTAATAGCGAGTTTTGGTCATAATTTGAAAAGTCCGTATTAGTAAACACCTAAGGCGAAACGTCGTTAAGCAGGGCCCTACTGTATCTTTACACTTTCCCCTATTTTGGCAGTAAATGGGCTGGAACCTAGAGTAAATAAATCATATCACTTGACTTTGTTGGGTTATCCTTAGTTACTAAACCAAAGGATGTCTTTTCTTCAACTTCATGAACTTCTTTATTTTTAGCACTACATTATTTTGCCATTTGTCTCATCATATCTTCATCTTTATCTATCTGCTTTCTTCATATGATCTCTTAATACCAAGAGATTTAAGAAGTTGTGTGTTTTTAGTTGTTTTAGGACCTTGTTATTAATTAGTTTTAAATAATACAATGGTATTAAAAAGAAAATACAGGTACCATCTGACTTAAAACTGAGTTCGGTTCCGACAAACCGGTCATAAGTCAAAATGGACGTAAGTTGAACCTTACTACTGAATATCAACACTACATTTTTGTAATGACTTTATTTTATTGTTTTATTTTGGTATTTAATTTTTTACTTTACTTTTTATGCTGTTAGTACTGTATTTTATACTGAAAGGCTTAAGGTAAACACTGTGTACAACACAGACAGTTGTTTATTTCCCAGAAATTTGGAATAGAAAACATGGTCGTAAGTCGAATGGTCGTATGTTGAGCAGGTTGTAAGTCAGATGGTAGGTGTATTCACAAAGTCAATAAGATTGTGCCATTGGTTATGGTGAATTATTATTTTCAGAGAATGGGATATGTGGTGAAATTCGGGGGAGGACTTTAGAAGGCGGGTGTCTCGCACTGACATCAGAGTCTCGCCTGGATGAACAGAGTGCTTCTTCAAGTGGTAAGCATTTTGCAGACCTCGCCTACAGTAAGGTTGCAAGTTGTAGCCTTCACAGTCCAGTGGTACAGATAGATAAAAAGATAGATATATAGACAAATGTTTGTGCATGTTTATATTGATTGATTTTATTTATTTAGTAATTTTGGTGTTTGTGTTCTGCAGCACTGGAAAGTCTCTCTCCTGGTGGTCGAGGCGGTGAACTGGACGTTACAGCAGCAGATGAAGCATTTCGTACCCGTTCACTACCAGCCTGGGTCAGGAACAAGACCCGCCCCCTCACTGCCTTAGATGACCTTAATACTATCTATGAGAAGGTAATCATTAACCTGAATTTTGATCCCCTTTCCCCAGTCCTCTCACTGCCTTAGATGACTTTCTATTTTTGAGACAGTAGCTATAACTTTGACCTGTCTTATTATTATCTTAAATAAATTCAGTATTCTCCATGGGGAAGTGGAACAGAATTCTTCCTCTGTAAGCCATGCATGTCATAAGAGGCAACTAAAATGCCGGAAGCAAGGGGCTAGTGATCCATTCTTCTGTATACATTAGTAAAGTTAAAAAGAGAAACTTTTTTTTTTTTGGGGGGGGGGGCACCTTGCCTTGGTGGGATACGGCCGGTTTGTTGAAAGAACAACAACTTCAGTATTAGCTGTGCAAAAGAAACTGCTAACCTAGATCCAAAAAAAATAAGAGGGGTCTATGTTTTTGTCATAACTGAAGTCCACTTAATTAAGCAGTCTACTTCAGATGAGGCTTAAATGTACAGATATCTCTTAGTTTTAGTTCACTTTTCTAAAGTGAGTTTTAATTGGAACTTAGAGGACTTGAGCTAGAATTTGCCACAGCCACACTGGTACAAGATTCATCTGTAGAAAGTTACATTTGTTTTCACAGTGGGACCCATGCTAACCTCCCTACAGTGTATAGAAATATACTTTGTTGAATGAATCTTATGAGCCAGCTGGCCGAGTGGCTTACATACCGTCCTGGAGTTTTACAACTCTCTCACCATAGCTCAAACCTCACCCATTCTGTGGTTTGTTTGCAATCGTGTTATGATTTCATGCGTCGTGGGACTAGGTGTTACAGTATATTTCCTCTGCATCCCATAAGATTGGTCCCCTCAACTTTAACCCTTTTGGGGCTTCAGCCGTACTAGTACGGCTGAAACGGGTTTTTGACATACAGTGGACCTCCGCATAGCGACCTTAATCCGTGCAAGAGGGCTGGTTGTTATGCGAAATGTTCGGTATGCGAATGAATTTTCCCCATAAGAAATAATGGAAATCAAATTAATCCGTGCAAGACACCCAAAAGTATGAAAAAAAAAATTTTACCACATGAAATATACATTTTCCTACACACAAAGAGAAGGATACATGCACAATAGTAGAGTAGTACATGCACAATATATATTGTGCATGTACTACTCTACTAAATGAAGAATAAATGACACTTACCTTTACTGAAGATGCAGCAATGACTGATGAGACACTGTGTCCTGGGAGTGCCTTTTCCTCCTGAGTACTGTAGGTCCTGTTTGGCATTTTCTTCCAGAACAGGCCTTATCACACTGTGTATGCCACTACGATTCTTAAATCTCTCAAACCAACCTTTGCTGGCTTAAATTCACCAATATGAGCACTAGTTCCAGGCATTTTTCCCTGTTCACCTGGGTGTTAGTCGACTGGTGTGGGTTGCATCCTGGGAGACAAGATTAAGGACCCCAATGGAAATAAGTTAGACAGTCTTCGATGACACTGACTTTTTTGGGTTATCCTGGGTGGCAAATCCTCTGGGGTTAATTGTTTCTTGGTATTCTCAATAAGCCACACCAACAACGGTGCTACAGCAGCAGCAGCAGCTGACGGTGGTACAGCAGCAACAGACGATGCTACAGCAGCAACAGACGATGCTACAGCAGCAGCAGACGATGCTACAGCAGCAACAGACGATGCTACAGCAGCAGCAGACGATGCTACAGCAGCAGCAGACGATGCTACAGCAGCAGCAGACGATGCTACAGCAGCAACAGACGATGCTACAAGCAGCAGCAGACGATGCTACAGCAGCAGCAGACGGTACTACAGCAGCAGCAGCAGCTGACGGTGGTACAACAGCAGCAGCAGCTGACAGTGCAGCAGCAGCTGACGGTGGTACAGCAGCAGCAGCAGCTGTACCACCAATAGTAGCGATGGTTGATTGGGGTTTTATTATAAAACCTGGCCAGCTCGGAGACACGCACTCCACTTTCATACTTATCAATGATCTTTTTCTTCATCTCTATAGTAATTCTCACCCTTATTGCTGTAGGGTTGGCACTAGAAGCTTTCTTGGGGCCCATGGTCACTTATTTTCCAGAAAAAATCGCCAAAAACACTGTAATAATACGAAATGTTCCGATTGTATGCTTGGATGTTACCACAGAGGCTAGCTGGTAAACAATGCCACCGGCGGAACATGTGAGCGTGGCTCAGGCCGCACATTGGACGCGTCTTGAACGAAGGGCGGTGAGCGGGTTTTTGGGCGGTATGCGAGGCAAAATTTTTGCGATCAAAGCGTCCGGTATGTGGATTGTACGGTATGCGATGCGTACGGTATGCGGGGGTCCACTGTACTAGTACGCATAAATTCTAGCACCCTCAAATCTAGCAAGAGAAAGCTGGTAGGCCTACATATGAAAGAATGGGTCTGTGTGGCGAGAGCATAATTCCGTAAGTTTTCCATCAAATTTGAAATTTTGGCGACCCTGAGAACAAGTCTCTGAGAGGGCCTGGCGACCCTCAAAGGGTTAATGCATTCAAAAGTGTGCGGCATAAGTTTCTGTTATAGTTAAATATCAAAGCTGAAGACTTACCTGGAGAGGGTTTTGGGGGTCAACACCCCATGGCCCGGTCTGAGACCAGGCCTTGTGGTGGATCAGGGTCTGATTAACCAGGCTGTTGCTGCTGGCTGCACACAAACTGACATATGAACCACAGCTGGCTGGTCAGGTACTGACTTTAGGTGCCTGTCCAGTGCCTTTTTGAAAACAGCCAGGTTCTATTGGTAATACCCCTTATGTATGCTGGGAGGCAGTTGAACAGTCTTGGGCCCCTGACACTTATTGTGTTGTCTCTCACTGCACTCATGATGCCTCTGCTTTTCATTGGGGGAATGCTGCACCTCCTGCCGAGTCTTGCTTTCATAGGGAGTGATTTTCGTGTGCAAATTTGGTACTAATCCCTCTAGGATTTTCCAAGTGTATATTATCATGTATATTTCTCGCCTGCATTCCGGAAATACAAATCAAGGGACTTAACCACTCCCAGTAATTTATTTGCATTATTGTACTTGTGTGTACCATGAAATTTCTTTGTACACTCTCCAGGTCAGCAATTTTGCCTGCCTTGAAGGGGGCAGTTAGTGTATAGCAGTATTCCAGCCTAAAAAGAACAAGCGATTTGAAGAGAATCATCATGGGCTTGGTGTCCCTAGTTTTGAAGGTTCTCATTATCCATCCTGTCAATAGATACATTGTTGTGGTCTTTGAAGGTGAGATCCTCTTGACATTATCACTCGCAGGTCCTTCACATTACTTTTTCACTTTTGTATGGTTAGAATTTGTTGTATACCATGATACAGTTTTAATTTCCTCAAGTTTTCCATATCTGAGTAGTTGAAATTTCCCTTCATTGAACGTCATATTGTTTTGAGTGGCCCATTTGAAGATTTGGTTGATGTCCACTTGGAGTCTTGCAGGTATCTTTGATGGAGGACACTGTCATGGCAATCCGGGTGTCATCCACAAAGGAAGACACAGACCTATGGCTTACCTCTCTGTCTGTGTCAGATATGAGGATGAGGAATAAGATGGGAACAAGTACTGTGCCTTATGGAACAGAGCTTTTCACTGTAGCTGCCTCAGACTTTACTCTGTTTACTATTACTCTTTGTGTTCTATTTGTTAGGAAGTTATAGATCCATCTACCAACTTTTCCTGTTATTCCCTTATCACGCATTTTGTGCGCTATTACACCGTGGTCGCTCTTGTCGAAAGCTTTTGCAATGTCTGTGTATACTACATCTGTATTTTATTTATCCTCTATAGCATCCAGACCTTGTCATAGTGGTCCAATAGCTGGGACAGGCAGGAGCGACCTGCTCTAAACCCGTGTTGCCCTGGGTTGTGTAATTGATGGATATCTAGGTGGTTGGTGATCTTGTTTCTTAGAACCCTTTCAAAGATTTTTATGATATGAGATATTAGTGCTATTGGTCTGTAGTTCTTTGCAGTTGCTGTATTGCCACCTTTGTAAAGTGGGGCTATGTCTGTTGCTTTTAGTGAGTGTGGGATGACCCCTGTGTCCATGCTCCCTCTCCATAGAATACTGAAGGCACATGACAGGGGCTTCTTGCAGTTCTTGATGAACATGGAGTTACGTGAGTCTGGTCCTGGGGCAGAGTGCATGGGCATATCATTTATTGTGTTTTCAAAGTCTTGGGTCTCATTCATGAAGAATTCATTTAGATTTTCAACCCTTAGACTAGGTAACGGCTCACTGAATATTGAGTCGTATTGGGACTTCAGTATCTCACTCATTTCTTTGCTGTCATCTGTGTATGTCCCGTCTCGCCTAAGCAGAGGCCCAATACTGGATGTTGTTTTACCCTTAGATTTGGCACAAGAGAAGAAATATTTTTTTTTTCAGTTTCCTTTATGGCTTTTAGTTCTTCCTGAGATTCTTGTCTCCTGTAAGATTCCTTAAGCTTAAGTTTGATATTTGCTATTTCTCTGACCAGTGCCTCCCTTCGTATTTCAGATATACTGGCCCCTCTCAGCAGCTCTGTGATTCTTCGCCTTTGTCTGTATAGGGAGCTTCTCACTCTTTCTAGTTTACATCTTTGTTACAAAAAACGCGATTCTAAAAGCTTAGAGATCTCCAGTGAATACTAGAAAGGATTGCCCTTCTAGCATTCAGCCTGTTACTGGGTTTTCGTAACAAGTAGTCAGTATCCTTGTCCAATTATCCATTAAAATTTAGTATGGTTCAATAGTGCTTTAGGATTACAACTGGTAGGCTACTAACTAGAGAAATTAAAATTTAATAAATTTATTAAGTCTATAAGTTGTCTAGAGGTATATTATCAAAGTAAATTAAATCACAGCAATCAAAATAAAATCAATCTCTCGAGTTCAATATTATTGTGCTGAAAGCACATATCACATTTATAATTCTTAAGTACCGTCAGGTACATTAACATTTAATAAGATATTACAAATATGTACAAGTAAGTGTGTGTATGTGTGTAAGTGCTCTTAAGTAGTTAGCTATGTCTCAAGACTCGAATAAGACTTAAACAAGTGACTGACAAAGTCCTCAAA